AACCAACCTCCAAGTACAAGCATGCTCTGGGTTAAGCCCCCGGGATGAACTTATATGGAGAGAAACAAGAGATAGTCTGGCATCACTCCATAAAGCCTTGGCTCTTTAGCAAAGGAATTGAGATTCTGTACATCACTGTCACCATGTCACAGGGCTACATATTAATCAAGTGACAAAAGGAGAGAGGGAGGCAACGCTCCTCAGAACACCCAGCCAGTGACGGTAGCATCAGTCACCTGACAGTGTTGCCTGCTTTAGACTGCTCTAAATGTCACTCTGATAGGGTCATCTTGAAATACCAGGGCATCAGCTCAATGATAAATGGTGACCTAGTCTTCTCCACATTAACTATAAGGTTAAAAAGTGTTAGCTGATGAATATTTCTGTAATGCATTTTTTTCAAAGACTCAAATATTCATTTGTATGAACATTAGTATTCAATGATCACAACTGAAGAAAGCTTGTTAAAATTACTTTCCAAAAACTGTCAAGTTGGCAGTGTAACCCCATTTTGACAAAATAGTCAACACATTCATGAATTTATCCTGTCTTCTCTTTCATCTGTAAAAGTTTTATTCCATTGTAAAATAATTCCATCTCTCTTCAGCTGAATGCATTTTCTGGATTCTGGATAAGACTAAATTAGGTCTACCACCAGACTATTTTGTAATGGTCAAACTAATAGGTGACCTCACTGGCAATTCTGCTAAAGGATGAATAAAAGCAGAAATCAGTTGTCCTGTCAGTCTTGCTAGGGGAGAGGATGTAGTATTCACACTTGATAAGTCATGGCTTTCTGAGAAAGTGACTGTGATCTGCACTAATGAGTCCTCCCTCCAGGAGTCACGCCAGGTGGGGTCAGAGTTCCCAGCCTTCCTGAGACAAAAGAAGGGCTTATGGTGTGCTACAAGCCTTCCTGGTAGTTCTGAAGATGAAGTTACACTACGGTTTTGAATTTCTCTTCTTGCCACCTAACATGACACCTCACATCTTTTCAGAGTCACATTCGGACTAGGGATTCTAAAGATAAAGAGAAGTTTATTTGTTCCCTATTACCTTGCAGAAAACAAAAGAAAACAAAAAATATGCTGGAGTTGAAACCTTGTAAGATGAGATTCTGGCTGAAATGTCAAATATTTTTTCATTCTGCTTTATAATTAAGCAGATATTATAATATCTGCCGTGATGGAGGCATTGCTTTTCCGCTTCATCTTATTCTGCAGCATAATTAGTCAGTTCACTTTCCATTTTAGAGGAAATGTTAAATATCTGAAAGAAAGAAAAATCACCTGACCATTGGAGTCAGGACCCCAGTCTTAGAAACCGAAAAGCAAGTGGAAGACCCTCAGGCAACCTTCTCTAGGCAGTAGCATTTGTGGTCAGAAGGTCCTGTTTCTATACTGATATGTCAGGAATACCAAACCAAGTGAAAGCAGAGTTCCAGAAAGAACTGTGACAGTGAAGCCTCATTAAACCAAAAGCCTCAGAACTTCTGTGACTATATGGGCACATTCATTCTTCACAATAGAAAGAGGCACATAAAGAATCCTAAAGATACTTTGTTTAGGTTTTTTTTTTTTTTTGAGATTACTTTGTTGTAGGGTGGGCATTTTGATAGTGTGGTGAATTTTTTACATATTCCTTAAATTGTCACCCGAGCTTCTAGCAAGCAGCCATATCAACACCCAGCCATCCTGGACCTCATATCAGGGATGTCCTCAGATACCTCCAGCCATTGCTGACAGCTGGCTGAGATCACATGAGAGACCTCAAGAGATAGTCTCCTGGCCAAGACTCTTAACCATAGCCCCTTGAAAGACAATAGCAAATTACTATTTTAATATACTAAGTTTTGGAATGATTTTTTTTAGCAACAGATACCTTGAAACATAAAGCAGAAGGGGGTATTGAACCCAGGATATTTATTGAATGATCTGCAAATTTTAGGAGGCAAGGAAATAGAAAATCCTTTGGTCAACAAATAAGACATTGTAGGATGAACTGTAGCAAATGGATAATAAGTGCAGTAATCAGCACAATTAGTTTCCTGGGAGAAAGTACCACAAGGATGATAAATTTCTCCATATCCTGATCTAAATTGTGTACCTGTTATAAGTTGTCTAGATCTTTAGGAGTCTATACTAAGGCCCCAGAGGATTTTGGGTACTCTCTAGGGAATCCATTCCCTGATACAGAGTGATGAGGTAACTAAAGATAGCCATTGAATCACAGGTAGACATTGGAAGTGGCAGTTCTGAACATTTCAACTCTGAGGATTGTATCCTTAAGAATTTAACACAAATAGATGCCACTTGTGATCATTTATGGCATTTAGAGCACTACTCAGCCAAGAATGGCCTTCAAGAAATTGAGAAGAAACATGACTTGAGGATCGTACACAGCTCGTACTCCTTGTTGCACACTTCACAAGGCATGTCTTCCCTTACCAACTTCCTAGCCCTCCCAGATACCCTCTGTGCTGGATAGCTTTAGTGTCAACTTAACACACCTGGATTGAGGGAGCCTCAATTGGGGAATTGCCTCCATTGGACTGGCTTGTGGCCCTGTCTGTGGGGCACCTTCTTGATTGTTGAGTGATGTGGGAGGGCCCAGCCCACTGTGGGTGGTGCCACCCCTGGGCAGGTGGGCCTGTGTTGCATAAGAAAGCAGGCTGAGCAGGGGCCAGGAGAGCAAGCCAGTAAGCAGCATTCCTCCATGGCCTGTGCTCCAGCTCCTGCTTCCAGGTTTCTGCCCTGAGTTTCTACCTTGGGCTCCCTGATGAACTGTGACCCGGGATATGTAAGCTGAATAAACCCTTTCCTCCCCAAGTTGGTATTGGTCAGAGTATTTTGTCACAGCAATGAAGAACAAACTAGGACAGAAATTGGTACCAGAGAGTGGGGTATTGCTGTGACAGACCTGACCTTGGTGTTTTGGGGAGGACTGTGGAAGTGTTTGGAACTTTGGGCTGGAAAAGCCATTGCATGCTCAGATTTTGTTGCTGTGGAGCTTGGAAGAGTTAGGCTGAAAGAGTTGTGGACGATGGAGGCCTGGCTTGTGAAGCTTCATAGGGAAGTAGAGACTATCAGGGCTCTTTGTGTGAGATTTTGAATTGAGAATCTGTTGGCTTGGGCTGAAGAATCAGCTGTGATTAAGAAGAGACCAGAACCTGAAGTAAAACCTTTGCTTTACTGGGACAATTGATGCTGGTTAGCTGGGGCTGAAAAATCAGCTGTAAGTAACAAGAGACCAGCATCACTGTAGTGAAATCTTCTGGGAGGTATTTCCTCAGGATCAGCACATGGAAGGGACCCAAACCTCCATCTCTAGCTGGAATCAGGACTTGGTAACGTGTAAGAGTCTCCTGCATGGTTCTGCCGTTGAAAGCGTGAAGAGATCACAGAGTGCAGCTGAGGCTTGGCCCTGTGAGACGTCAGGAAAGGCCATAGGTGAAAGTGCAGCTTCAGTTGCAGTGAAGACCCCAGGATTGAAAGGGTCATGGAGAGAATCTGAGGCCTTTGCACCCCAAGAGGCAAGAAGAGGCCATTGGTGAAGGTGTAGTCTCAGATTCAGTGGAGACTCCAGCTTTTTGGACATGTCAGGACCATGGGATGACCACTAAGGGCAGCAGCAGGTGTGGAATGGAGCTTGCCTGGGTCTTCAAGACAAGCAGTGTGTGCTGTGGATGGCAGAGTCAAAGAAGCAGAGCTGCCAGAACCCCATGGAGCCCAGAAGATCGTGAGTGAATCCCAGATGCCCAGCCTTGAGCTACTTTGCTGGACTTCGGTTTTGCTTAGGTGTGCCCAATTCTTCCCTTTGAAATAAGACAGCACTTGTTTTGGATTTTACAGAAGCCCACAGTTAAGAGACTTTTAAAAGAGATGATGGGCTTTTAAGTGTTTGGATTTTTTAAAGACTGTGGGACTTTTAAGGTTGTACTGTCTTATGTTGTGATATTAATGTTAATATTGTGTCTTGGGGACAAGAATTGGAAAGGTTATGGTTTAATAGTGATGTGTGTGTCAAGTTGACAAGGGGTCAATTGTACTGGATAGCTTTAGTGTCAACTTGACACACCTGGGTTGAGGGAGCCTCAATTGGGGAATTGCTTCCATTGGACTGGCCTGTGGCCCTGCCTGTGGGGCACCTTCTTGATTGTTGAGTGATGTGGGAGGGCCCAGCCCACTGTGGGTGGTGCCACCCCTGGGCAGGTAGGCCTGTGTTGCATAAGAAAGCAGGCTGAGCAGGGGCCAGGAGAGCAAGCCAGTAAGCAGCATTCCTCCATGGCCTGTGCTCCAGCTCCTGCTTCCAGGTTTCTGCCCTGAGTTTCTACCTTGGGCTCCCTGATGAACTGTGACCTGGGAGATGTAAGCTGAATAAACCCTTTCCTCCCCAAGTTGGTATTGGTCAGAGTAATGAAGAACTAGAACATGCTCCATTACTGCTATGCTAGTGTTTTCATCATTGAATCCTTTGTTTAGTCATTTGTTGATTTGGTATAAAGACAGAAAAGAACATTTGGAAAAGTTCATATGAATAATTTCCCCCAAACTCTGTGAGGATTTGACCATGATTAGCAATGTAAGTACAAGAGAAAACACTCGCAAAGCTAGGTGAGCTGCAAACAATGTATGCAGAAAGAGCAGCTATTCTTAACTGATTCGGAAGACGTTTTCTGTCAGTCACTTTTTGTATTATTTTATTTTGTTAATTTTATTTTTTGGTTGATTCCTGTAAGAATAAATAACTTACAAAGAAAAAAGTTTTGCAGTTCAAATTTTGGAAAACCAATGTATTTAATATATTCAAATTTACCTTGAAGTGGAAGCACGTTTCCTCTCATGAAGTTAAAATATTTTCTGATGAATGTGTTTTATAAATAATTTGCAAAGTCCCAATTATTGCATATAATACATCCATGGAATTAAAAAGACAAGAGGAACTTAGAGGATTGGGCTTTGTTTCACACTAACACACTTCAGTTATAAAGGTTTTCTTACCATGATACCTGTATGAAGCATTATGTAATGCACAGTTTGAGTGACGTCAGCTGCATGAATCAAATTATGATACGGATTTTTGTACTTGCTGTAACCAAGTTCTAAAGCTTCTGCAAAGGCAATTAGGCAAGAAACAGGAATCTGTGGAAGGCAATGTTTATGATTATATTTTGGCCCAAAGTGTTACACTCTACAACATAAGCACAATGTTTGGAAATGCAACATATTAGTGAGTCACGTGTAGACAGTAATTTCAAGCTCAGTGTGGTTAGATATATTCTTGATATATTAGCTTTCAGGTCTGGAGGGATTTGAACCTTAAGTATTAACTTAAACAGAATAACCCATACCATGAAGCTCTGAATTTTTTTTTTAATCTTCCAGAGTCAAGTAAGAAGGCTAGTTCTTAAAAGTGCATTAACGGTCTAATTATAATCAGTGAGTTCTAGTTTTCCTCTCTGTAACACCATAGGGTATAAAAAGTATCTCCCAGTACTTTCTAGCTATGCTATGATCCCTCAGGGTGTGAAATGTACAGCCCACAGATTGCTAAGAAACCTGGATCAAAGTTGTCACTTAGATGCTTCCAAATGAAATTGAGATTTGTTCCTTCAATACAAGGAAAGCTTCCAAAAAGTCAGATGTGGTGGTGTACTACTGAAATCTTGGCACTCTAGTGGCTGAGTCAGGAAGATAGTTCCAGACCAGCCTGGGCTGTATTGCAATTCAAGGGTAACCTGGGCTACATTAAAAGACCATCACTCAAAATAAGGAAAAGAAAGGATCATTTTCTGCTATAGGCACTCTGGGAATTGACTGTGTTTCTTCAAGATGTAGCTTTCAATCCCATTAGGAGTATTGTGCAAAGGGTCCAGGAGATCTTGTATCTTGTTGGGGTAAAGTATCCTGGTCTTATGCACACAAGGTAGATGTACAGACAAGTCAGTGAGATGGGAATGGTTTCATTGTAGGGTGAGCTCAGTCCCCTAATCTGTGACCTGCTAAGTCACTCTAAGTACATTGATCAATGACACTGTGTTCTGTATTTTCATTCTTATTCAAATAATGGAGTCTCTGAGCATCTCACTGTTGCTGAAGCTCCTGACCTTGAAGCGGTTGATAAGATCATATCTGGTAAACAGTTCATAAATCATAAACTTCAGGCTATGCTCTCCACTTGCTTCATTCAGGGCAAATACATCAAAAGACCATTTATCAACATCCTGCAGAAAAAAAAAGAGTAAATACTTTAGGTGACAGTAGTATGTAATTTTGTTGCTTATTATAGAAAATTATTTAAGAAATTAAGCATTGTGCATGCTGCAGGGAATCCTGCAGCTCAACATGTCAAGCTACGTTTTATCAAAGTCTGATATGACAGGGCCACAGAAGTGAGGCTATCATGCTTAATACAGCAGTAAGATTAACCCTGCCCCAGGTCCCAAGGTTATGAAACTGATGTAATAAACTTGATCACACTCTCACGCTGCCTTCAATTTTGCTCTCTTCAGCTTCCTGCCATAAATCATTTCTCAGAATGGCTCCATTTTAAGGTAGGATTGCTGGTGTAGGGGGTGATGTCAATCGAGGGATAGAAGATAGTCCTGATTTTTATTTCCAACTCATCCCACCCATTGGCTTCTTTACTTGATATTTCAGCTTAGGAGTTAGTAATTTAGTTTAAATCATTGATATTATCTGCCTTCTTTTAGGATGCAAATACCAGAAGGAATCAGAGTACAGACTGCCTCATCACCACCCATGGAACTGAGGCTGACTTGTTGATACTTTTCTCTAGAGACAGGTGGTGAGAAAAAGAAGAAGATATTTTGATTGAGGAGGATGTTAGTCATTTTGTCATTTCATGCAGTTCTCTAGAGACACAGGCAGGTCTCTAGGAAAGCAGGTCACCTGGGGAAGTAGCCCCTAGTAGTGGCAGAGGAGCAGTAAGTAGGACCAGTTGACCACTGAGCACTTCAGTTGCCTCATGGTTTTGCTGGAATAAAATCTAATGATGTATTCTATTCTAAAGCTGATCCTAGCTGTCACAAAAGAAGGCCTGGTACACACACACACACGGCAGATTTAGTTTTGGATAGTAAGTGGACAACCTTAAAGTAATGCATTAATTTTGCATGTATGTAGACACTGTTTAGCATTTTATTCATTTATTTTAACATTACTATAAAGTCCCACTTAATGTGCTATGAGATGCTGAAACTAAATCAAAGACCCAATGGAGATTTTTTTAAATGATTCCTATGAAAAATAATAGTAAAAGTCTCCAATGATACTTTAAAATGTTTATTTATCTCTCTCTCTCTCTCTCTCTCTCTCTCTCTCTCTCTCTCTGTGTGTGTGTGTGTGTGTGTGTGTGTGTGTGTATGATAGGTCTGTGGGCTCGTGCGTATGTTGGTGTGTGTGGAGGCCAGTGGACAACATTGTGGAGTCAGTTCTCCCTTTCCATCTTTATGTGGGTTCTGAAAATTGAACTCAGGTTAATAGGCTTTTACAGCAAGCTCCTTTATTATTGAACCAACTTGCCACTGATCCCCTCAAGTAATACTTTTAATCACTTGGACTTGAACACCAATGAAATCTATCTTGGTTTACTTATTAAATTCCCTCCATTTGGTTCCAATATGATCTCTAAGCATTTGTTTTATCTCTTTGTGAATTACAAATCTTTTCTAATAGTTCTCTTAGAAGGATTTTTTTTACCACCAGTAAAGCTCAAAGGAGGTCAACGAATCTTTTATCAAATTCCAAAGCCAACAAGGGAGAATTAGTTCATACTTTTAAGGCTATTCATTACAGTTCCAACTCAAGGTCTCCCACTGAGAAAATGGACAGCTTTCCAGTTCTCAGGGAGTTTCATAAACAATGATGATTGCCATTTGTGAACTGCAGCATATGCTTGACCCCCATGCTGTCAGACTGACAATAAAGTTCTCAGAAAATGCATTAACTAAAATATTCATTATTTGGGGATATTTATTTATTCTTCCAATCTTATAGTTCATATGGCTTTACTATACCACATTTAAAAAGCTGTTACATTCTTATACCAAAATATTTTAACTAGTTTTTAAGTCATGAATTTTAAAGTAAGCAAAATAAAACTAATTTTCTTTCACACAGTTGTAGAAAATAAAGAAGGTAAAAAAATCTCTTAAAATGGAGAAGAAATTAAAATATATTGGAATGTGATATTCCAGCTTTACAGTTCTCTTTGTTATAGTTTTAGAAACATAAATATTTAAAACATCAATAAAAATGAATTGTCTTTTAAAATCAATAGCTTTTAAATCTACTGTGCAGCCACAAAGAAAAAACAAATTCAATAAGGATGGGTGTGGTAGTGCACACCTTTAATCCCAGCATTCAGGAGGAAGAGACAGGTAGACAGGTGGATCTCTGTGAGATCAAGGCTAGCCTGGTCTACATAGTGAGCTCCAGGCCAGCTGAGGCAACAAGGCGACTCTGTACCAAGAAGTTAAAAAAGAAAAAAAGAAAAAAATGAAATGAAAATATACATTTAAAATAGGAAAGAAGAATAAAAATCAGAAATAAAGCAAGCCAAGAAACTTTAGATAATATAAGAAAGTCATCATGAAGTATTTTTAGGAGACAAAGTTGAGTATTCACAACCAGATTAAGAGATAAAAAGAATGGACTTTAGAATGACGAGTCTACAACACTCCTTGTAGAAAGAATATGTAAAGGTGCACATGTGTCTCACACATGCTAACTGCAGACAGGTAAGCCAACAGTTTCCCCATTCAGACTGTCAGGTCTAGTCATTTCTGACTCACACAGACTGCAATCACACCTCAGGACAGGGCAGTCTGGATCAGGGCAGTTCCAAGGGAAGTCAGAGACAAGACAGGCTAAGTGAGTTTTGTTGTTTCTGTATCAATTTTATTTTGTATTTTAGATTTTCTCAGACATAAGATCTTAAATAATTTTCTTCTTTATAATTTTATCATATAAACATAGACTAAATATTTTTAATGCATAATAATAATTGTAATTATAATATAATAAGTGTTTTCTTGAAATGGAATTCAAAATACAGCTAAGTAAAGCTTGGAGAAAAAGACCAGGCTTTCATGCATGCACACACACAAACTATTGATACCATTGATTAGCACAAGTCAAATGTCATTTAACTCTATTGAGAGTCATGGTTTAGGATACTTAACATTATATAAGTGGTTAAAATAATTTTTACACTGTAATATATAGGCTGAGCTAAGACCTGATCTTACTTTTCTCTAAGCCACTTGAAGAGAAATAATTTAAGCAGTTATTTCACAAAGAAAAACAATTGAAATTATTTTACCTTTAGTGTCACTATGACAGCTGCGGGATATGCCAAACCGACCATGTGGTAGCTTTTCCTGTACATCCTAAAATGACAAAAGCAAGTATACATATAAAATTCATCTGTTCACAGTTTTCAGCTATTTCTCAGATATAAAGGAAAGGACAGATCTTGTCTTCCTCACCATCCAGCATAGTTACAGACTCCTACTTGGACAACAGTAATAACTACACCACAGCTTATCTGCTTGACAGGGCTAATAGCATTTGTCAACTCCCTGCAACCCTCTTCCCTGCACTTCATGCAATTAATAGGTAGACTGTGCTTTCTACGTGAAGCCACACTTGTCACAGGCCACGTCATCATTCAGAGTTTTAGATTGGAAGGTGAATATCATGAACATATTTCTTTTAGATTTTATTGGCATTGTTTATTGATTAAAAATGGATACCAATGGAAGAAAACGGAGAGCACCATCAGAAATTACACTACTTTATGTTGTTAAGGATACTGTGAAAGATTATACTGCCAAAAATTACTTAAGATTGTTCAAATTGTCATCCAATAACCTTAAGAAAGGTTATTTGGGGCTATACAGAGACCTTGTATGATGGTTTGAATGTCCCCTGTAGGCTCCAAGTATTTGGACATTTTGTGCCCAGTTGGTGGCCCTGTTTTGGGAGATCTTAGAAGGTGTGGCCATGCTGAAGGAAGCACATTATGAGAGGTGGATTTAGGGAACTCTTAAGCCTTACCAGATCTCAATTCACTCTCTGCTTCCTGTGCCTGCTTGAAGATGTGAGACCTTAGCTTCTGCTCCTACTCCAGCCACCTCTGCTGCCATGCCTCTTGCCCCTTTGGAATGGTAAGCTAAATAAACTATTCCTTTGATAAGTTGTTTTGGTCAGTGTTTCTATCACAGCAACAGAAAAGTGACTAGTACAGTAACTGATGTGAAAGAGTAGGCTGTTAACTGTGAAGAACCTGACCATGTAGGGTTTTGGTATAGAAGACTTTGGAAGTTTGGGCTAGAAAAGTGGTTGAATGCTATAAGCAGAGCTTAACAGGTCATTTTAGTAAGTGTCTGGAAGAAAGTAGTGCTGAGAACAGTTGCAGAGGGAAATAAGGACTTAAGTAGTAACTGGGATATTTTGACAGAGTCTGGCTAGATTCTGCCCAAATCCAAAAAGTTTGCCTGAGGCTAAGTTGAAAAGCAATGGACTAATTTCTCTGGTGGAAGAAATTTCAAGGCAGCCTAACACAGAACTGGTGGTGTGGCTACTAATGATGAATAGTTCACAAATCTACAGTGAAAAAGAGAAAATGGGGCAGAAAGAAATACAGAATATACAGTTAGGCCTGAAAAAGAGCACTAGGAAGATAAATTTTGGAGTTGACCTGTGCTGGAGAGGATCCCTTTGATAAAGAGATTAAAGTGATTAAGATGAGACCCAGAGATTTGCACTTAAACAATGAAGAGAGTGTCTCCAGGGCAAGACCACACCCAGCTAAGCCCAACTTGTGAAAGGAAAATGCTGCAGGGGCCACTGAAGAGGAAAGCCTCTAAAATGGATAAAGCAGACTGGGGTCCATCCCAAACTTTCAGCCAAACTTGTCAGTGTCGTTCACCTGGTGGGCTTTAGAGGCATAAAAAATGAAAGAGTGAAGGGGTCACCCGTTCTTCCTCCATAGTTTCCACCTAGGCCAGGCAGCATGCAGGGGTTCCCCTGAATAAAGAAGGCCCTGATAGGCCATTTTGTGAAGTTGTGAAGGTGAAGCTGAAGCCTGGTTGCCAGTGGAGACCCCAAGAAGACATTCATGATGCCAGAGCTGAGACACCTGCCAAAAAGAGCTGCATACAAGGAGTGGTACCAGCCCGAGAGAGAGAGAGAGAGAGAGAGAGAGAGAGAGAGAGAGAGAGAGAGAGGTATGTTGCATGCAGCAAAGCCAGAGAGGCTGAGCCATCTAAGCCCTTTAGAAGTAAAGCTCCAGAAGTCGGACATGGAGCTACTGGATTTCGTGTTTGCCTTGCTGGTTTCAGTCTTGTTCTGGTCTGGTATTTCCTCACTATGCCTCTGTTCCTCCCTTTTGTAATGGTAATGTGTATTCAGTGACATTGTATGTTGGGAGTATGTAATGTGTCTTTGATTTTACTTTTTGATTTTACAATTAACAATTTCCCCAAGTCTCAGAAGAGACTTTGGACTGGTTTGAATAGTATTGAGACTGATAATGACTATGGGTCTTTTAAGGTTGGATTAAATGCATTTTGCATTTTATATGGTCATGAGTGTATAGGGGCCAAGGAGTGGAATGTGGTGGTTTGAATGAGAATGTCACCCATAGGCTCCAAGTGTTTGTCCATTTTGTCCCCAGATTGTGGCAGTTTTGGGAGGTCTTAGAAGGTGTGGCTATGCTGGAAGAATCATGTCACTGGGGACAGGGTTAGAGAGTTCTTAAACCTTGCCATGCTTTGGTCAGTGTTTCTATCACAGTAACAGAAAAGTAACTAATAACACCCTGTTTCACAAAAAGAGATTATTCTTAGAAAACAATGTTCTCTCTGTTTCCATAATAATATAAACACAAAAATATTTGTATTTATTTTTAATTTGTTTATTTACTGACAGGTAATTAAACTGACATTAATCAAATGTGAGAACCCTTCTGGGTATTCCTGTGAATATAAAGTAAAAACAAAACCAGTCTAACACAGAGAAACTGTACTCAGTTCCTATTTGGAGGTTAAAGGATGTGTGATGCTTCACAGGATCCTGGAAAGAAATAGCTCTATTTTTAGTCACACCCCTTATTTTTTATAGCAAATTGGTCTACAACAAGCTGTAGTCCTTAGACTGTATTGCTGTAACTTCTTCTGAAATTTCTGAACAACATGATAATTTGATTAAGTATAACAAATATAGTCAATGTAAGAAACAATCATTTGGAAAATATTTTCCATCTTCTTTAAAAATCACCATGAAAACATAACTAACATTTTTTAAGTTTGCAGTTCTTACATTAAAAATTTAAAACATGTTGCTATGCAAAAGCAATGATTTCAAAAATTGATAATAAAAGTCAAGTAATTTGTTATGCATTCCTTTTATTTTTTAAAATATTTTATTTATTATTTTTATTTCATATGTACAAGTATATTGCCTGAATGTGTATAAGTGCACTCATGCTGTGCAATGCCCAGGAAGTCAGAAGAGGGCGTTGGATCCCCTGGAACTGGAGTTATGGACAGTTATTGGCTGCTATGTGGGTGCTGGGAATTTAATCAAGGTCCTTTGCAAGAGCATCCAATGTTCTTAACCATTGAGCCATCTCTCTAGCCTGTGCTTTTCTTTTAAATATTGACTTCATGAAGACCCATAATTAAAACTGTGTTACATCTCTAATTACTCATTCTTGACAAAGCATCTCCCTATTTCATTATGGAAACACTGTTACTTTATTGTCCTGTTTCAACTTTATGTTTACTTTAAATGATCATGAATCATTTTAAGATGTGGGTGATCAAGTATAGTAAAAAAAAAAAACCAAAAAACTGTTCTTCATTGAAAGATCTCAGCGCAGATTACAAACAAAAAGATTTTTATTAATTGCTCCCTAGAGATAAGTATAATTATTCTAGTTCTGCAGAGCAACAAAAGATCCAATCACACTACAAAAGATCCAAAAAGCAATTACTGTCAATAAAGATAGCTGTGGTGTTTAAAAAAAACAAATAGTCTTTATCTACATACTTTCTGTCATTCTCACAGAGAAAATAAATATGGGAAAAACAGAAGTGCAATGAACAGGACATGTTCAATATAAAAGCCAATAGGAACATTCTAAGTATTAGGTAATCAAATAAGTATGATTTAATGGCACAGGAGTGGAGGATGAGGAAGAAGAGACAGCATATTCTTTGAGTGACAAGTTAGCTATTCAGGAGCTATGTGGCCTTTGGAACAATGCTTAATGGAATTCTTTTGGGAAAGGAGAATTAAAAGATCGCTTGTAACAAGCACAGGCTATAGATTCCTGACATAATCTAGTAATATCTAGCAGAAGAAAGCTGTTATCACTGTAGTGATCCTCATCACCCTCCAGCCAATCCTGTTAGTCCCAACTCCTTCATGACTCAGAGATTCCTGGCCAGTGGCAGCTTGGAGACCAATGAGTTTCCTAGCTTGGGAACAGTTCTAAGTGTATTGAGGGGTTACTGGTTGGAGAAGAGATACAGTAGCAGGAACATCACTAGTAATCAAGACAGGCCTCCAGGAAGACAAGAATGCATCCACCTATGGACAGTGAGTCAAAGAGTCAATTTTAAAGGAAAGGACAGCAGGAGTCATGGCTCCAAGGCAGGAGAGAGTTTAGGAGTGTTCCTGGAATTGAAATCAGTCAAGGACGAAAGTATTAGATAACACAGGAAAGTCAGAAGAGCCCAGATTGGGCAAGGCCTGGTTACCAGGATGGAATACTGTTCCTAAGGTTTGAATTTGAAGGGACTCCTACAGGCTCATGTGTAGAAGATTCATTCCCCAGGCCCATGGTTCTACTTTGAGAGGCTGTGGAAATATCAGAAGAGGCTTAATGGGCAGAAGTAGGTCACTAGGCATGAGCCTTTGAAGGCTATAGCCAGTCCAGACCTGGCAATGGCCTTTCTGTCACCTTTGTGTCCACACCTTTGTGTGTTGCAAATTGAACTGCTCTGCCAAGCCTTGCATGCCACAATGGACTGAGAGCGTCAGAAACTCTGAACCAAATAAATTTTTAGTCTCTTAAGTTGTTTCTGTCAGATGTGGTGGTCACAGAAATGAGAAAGTCCCTAATAAAACTATTAGTTAGCCTTAACAGCAACAGGAACTAATTTATGTTCCATAGCTTCATTGTACAATGATTTGTTTGGAGAAGGTAAGGAGGAAGGGAGCCCAGTTAGAAAGGTTTGGTCATGTTGCTGTCAACGAATGGAGAGTTGGACTTTCAGTATAGGACAAATTTAGCTGCAAATTGAAGGCACATTTAGGTACATCATTGCCAAGTCTTGCTGAGGCATTGAATTTTTCGAGAGAAGCCTTGGGGAGGAAGCAACAAGACTTCAAGATGTCATCTAAATTTCAGAACTGAAGATGATTACTTTTGAAAATTCGTGATGTATACATCACTAATAGAGATTCAACTCTGATAGAAAAGGTTTCATTTCTAAACACTCTAAGTATATTAATTTACCATAATTAAAATTTCATATAAATTACCTTCTGTACGCTTTGATATTTATATTGGGAAGTTAGATTATTTTTATGTTACATATGAAAAGATGGAAATTTATTGAGTTAAGATATGACTCCTGATATTTTTTTTGAGACAGGGTCTCCCTATAGTCCCAGCTAGCCTGAAACTCACTATGTAAACCAGACTGGACTCAGTCTCACAGGGATCTGCCTGTCTCTGTCTCTGCTGGGGTGAAAGGCATGGGCTACCAACCTGGTAAATTCTGAATCTTTAACCTTGTCTCAAATGGAAATGCAAATTCAGTTGGATTTTATCTACAGCTTGAATTGCTTTTCGGTTTGCCAAGTTCTAAAGGAAAATAATATACACATCACTTCAGCAAATCAAACACCCTGCTTCATCTGTGACTCAGTGACTTTCTGAGATACTATTTAGATGTTTCTAATGTGATGCCTTGGAAAATCAACAATTGTAACACAAAAGAAATTAGATGGTAGACATTCTTCTCTTCAGCCCTTCCTCCTTGCTACAAACAAGTTAGAATAAGTTTAAGCACAGCAGGAAGGAAAATGGTATCTTAACACCAAACTAACTAGCATATCTTTAGTGCTCTTTTATTTAATCCAATTAGATAGGACCAAGAAGCTTGCAAAGTAACTTGAATAATCACTCACTGGGTATTATTTTTGGTGATACCTCCATGAAAAGAGCCATTAGAACTTCATTGTTGTGGTTCTAATTTATTTTTAATGGCATAGTATTCTTACATTTTCTCATTCACATTTTGAAAATTAAAGCATTCTGTCCATTGTTTCTTTGGTTGGAAATGATGTTTTGATGTTTTACTACATCAAAGATAGAAAATGATCAGACTTCCCTTAAAATATGCTGAGACTGAGCATAGTGATTGATGCCTGTGATCCTAGCACTCAGAGAGAATTGCGAGTTTGAGGCCAAGCTGGCTTACTTAGTTCCTCAAAAAAGGATATTGGCATAATAATAATAATAGTAATAATAATAATAACAATAATAATAATTGTGTTCCTCAATCTGATTAGTTTCTAAAATACTACAGGGTTTTTTGTTTGTTTGTTGTTTCTTCTGGCTTTATTTATTTATTTATTTATTATTTATTTTTAAGACACGTTTTCTCTGTATAGCACTGGGTGGTCTAGAACTCACTAGTAGACCAGGCTGTTCTTGGTCTCACAGAGATTCGCTTGCCTCTACCTCCCAAGAGCTGGGAGGAAAGGTGTGAGCCACCATGCCCAGCTCAGTAATATTTTTACTTATGCTTGAGTATAATTTTTTAATCTAAGATATTTATGATCACTATTTTTCAATTTTGTCAGAAGTGTTTATATTGAGTATCATTGTCGTTTTAATCCTAAACATTTTATAGGAAGAAGAGTAACTTTTTCCCTTAAAAGTTGTTTTAAAAATCATGAAATCATGTTGTACTAATGTGTGTAAATACTGGAATCTCCAGTGACCTGTTCCCATGTTTTAGGAGATCTTGTTTCAGTGACAGAAATGACAAAAACAAAAGTCCTCAAAAGTGGACAGACTAGAGGCTTCCCCTCATGATAGAAATATGGGAAGAGAAATTTATTTTCTATTAGGGCAAAAAGAAGCCTGCTTGACTTGAAATACAGATATTTACTGTCCAATACAGAATTTATTGTATGAGTTATATATTATTCAGGTAAAATTAATCATGGAACATATGAATGTTTTAGAATTGTTTATAAACCATTGTTCACAAAAGTTCATTTTCAAATGATTATTCAAAACCTTTTGCTCTAGTTTCCACATCAACCTGATATAAACAACAATAAAGCATCTAAGGCCAGGTATTTTACTATTTTTCATCATAAAGCCCAAACCCACCAACTTTAGTTATACTTATAACTGACATTTTCCTTGAGAAGTAAAATAGAAGCTCTTAGAACTCTGATGTAGTGAACAGATCTGCTGGCTTTCGGGTTCTATCATCTTGAGAGATGAAAAGTTTTGCTCACCTTTCCACAAAAATTCCAGCTTGCACGGCATGCACAATGCTTCGAAATTTTGGTTTTTCCTCGGGTTTCTTTTTCATCATCCCCATTTTCCGAGTAAAGGTAGAAGCCAACCAGTCCCGGACTTCCGATGGCACCGAGTCGGTCTGGATGTCACTGAGCTCATCTTCAGTGTCCAGCAGTCTCCTGTAAACATTTTGACAGGACAAACATTGAAAACGGGAGGGAAACCCGTTGCAGGGAGATTTCTAAATGCCTCATCACTTTCTGATTATTCCTTAACTTGAACAATTTTTTAAAATTGAGTTAACATTTAGAAAGGTCTCAATTCCTCAACTCAATCACTTTCTGGAGGCCTGAAATTACACAGTTTAGCATCTGTTGCTTCCCAGAGGTTGAGGTACAGTCCTACCCGTCGAAAGGTATCGATTGTCAATATCACTACTGTGCCACTCTATTAGAGTTGAAAACTAAGAAAAGAAGGGAAGAAAATTCATAAACAGATATGTGCTACTGAAGGAAGCAAGTAGGGTAGAAAGAAAAAGAGGTTGAAATTGTAATAGTTTCACATATTTAAGTTTTCTACATGGTGCAGATAGCATATGCTATATGAATTTTGTTTGATGTTCTCAAAAGTCATTCACAGATGCTATTTCATTGAATAAATTCCTCTAAATAATGAAATAACTTAAGAACTCTAAAATATTTTCTTTCTTTTTTTAATATTTTATTATTTTTATTTTATGTGTAAATGTGTATTGCCTGCATGTAGTTAAGTGCACCTGTGTCATGCAATGCCCATGGAGGACAGAAGAGGCTGTCGGATTCTCTGGAACTGGAGTTACAGACAGTTGTTAGCTGCCATGTGGGTGCTGGGATTCGAACCTGGGTCTTCTGCAAGAACGGCCGGTGTTCTTAACCACTGAGCAATCTCTCCAGCCCCTAAAATATTCTTTCTTACAACACCATTTCAAACTTTAAAAGGTTAAACACAAAAACAAAAGCACCAGGGGCAGCAAATGGCTCAGTGGGTCAAAGCTCTTGCTGTGAAAGCCTGATGAGTTCAATCCCCAGAATACGTGCAGAAGGAGAACACCCACTCCTAAAGTGTGTCTGCATTCATACACATGCATGTCATATACACACATAAATAACAATAAACTAAAATTTTTAAATAATATATGATTAGACTTGTCCCTTAGTATCCATAGGAAACTGGTTCTAGGACACTCTCTCACCTCTAAGATGCCTAAATCACCACATGCACTCAATTCCCATATATACTATGGCAGAATATTTGTGAATGATCTATGACCTTCCTCATACATATCTTAAATCATTTCTCCATTTCCTGAAAGCTAATAAAATATAAATGCCCAGAAGTTAGTTGTCACACTGTGTTATTTAGAGAATGCTGACAAGAAAAAGACTACGTTTAATACAGATGCAATTTCTTTTCCTGAATAGTTCTGAAATGTAGTTACTCGAATCCACAGACTAGTAACTCAAAGACGCAGAGGGCTGAATCTTGAAAGTTCATTTTGGAGACTGAGCCAGTCTGAGAGGAAGAAATACCTCCAGTTAAGAGCTAATGCTAACTCCAAGGGTGGAGATTTAATTGGTTTAAAACTTCTGACCAAGACCAAGTGTCCCAGCACGCTGAAGACTAAGGCAGAATTGCAAATTCAAGACCAGCCTGGGCTTCCAATAAGATCTTATCTCAACAACACCAAAATCAGCACAGAATTGCTACCCAAGGACATCCACAAAGTTCATAAGACAGTGCATATTAACTCATGGGTGATAGGGGTGGTAGTGTTCGGTGGACTGGCTGACAGGTGCAATTACTGCCATGGAGGAGGGAGCTGAAGAAAAATCTTGATTTAAGGATGGTAGCTTCTCTTCTTGAGAACTTCCTGAAGGTTTGAAAAGGCAGGGAAATTGCCCCCCCCCCCCAGAAAAAAAAACCCACAATCCACAAACCAGCCTAGCTTTGACTACAGGAAAAAGGGAAAAAAGGCACTCCTGCTCTTGGAGATGGCATTGTCCCAGCACGCTGAAGACTAAGGCAGAATTGCAAATTCAAGACCAGCCTGGGCTTCCAATAAGATCTTATCTCAACAACACCAAAATCAGCACAGAATTGCTACCCAAGGACATCCACAAAGTTCATAAGACAGTGCATATTAACTCATGGGTGATAGGGGTGGTAGTGTTCGGTGGACTGGCTGACAGGTGCAATTACTGCCATGGAGGAGGGAGCTGAAGAAAAATCTTGATTTAAGGATGGTAGCTTCTCTTCTTGAGAACTTCCTGAAGGTTTGAAAAGGCAGGGAAATTGCCCCCCCCCCCCAGTAAATACAAACTCAGATCCACAGATCAGCCTAGCTTTGCCTACAGGAAGAATGGGAACCAGGACCTCCTGCTGTTTGAGTTGGCTAGCTCCTTGACAGTACCATTTTCATCAGTTTAGTGACCCATCGTTCTTTGGCACATGCCAGCTTTGGCCTTTGTATTTCATTGACTTTGGTAACTGCACAGAATGAGGTAGATCTAAAATTTATGAGCTAACAGAAGGAAGGAAGCTAGACATGGCACTGTGCACTCAATAAATCCTCAGGAACAAGCACACCATCTCAAGAAGGCAGTGACAAAAAGATGGGGCAAAAAGGGTGAAGCCCCCTCATCCAAAAGGGCTCAAAGAACTATTTGCAGAGATGCAAACCTTCATGTTCTTTTAAATGCCCCTATTTGTGCTAGTTCCTTCTATTCACATTCACAATACTTATTTTTCATGCTATTAAATAAGCACAAATGCATTTATGATATAGCTTAGTAAAAATAAACACTACTTAAGTGCTGGATTTACAAAACTACATGTACATATGAGATAAAAAAGACATAGTTGAATATTAATACTTTATAAAATTTTTAAGTTTCTGTAGCTGCTTGTGTTTGAATGATTTTGATGTACCACTAAAACAGCAACACTGTAATTCAAAGGTAAATTTGGGGGGGGCCCATTTGCCCATTTCAAATTTGATTCCTTAGCCCATTTTAGTAAGATACTATACTACAATAGTTGAAATTTTCATTACTTAAAGATTATGCCATTTCTATTATTTCATGCAGAGATCAGCTAAAACTTCAGAGCAGAGGGAAGTGGAACAGGTGTCATCGTGGTGTAATCTGGTGATTTCACCACGTTCCAAGCATTCCCTCCCGTCTGGTCTTAGCTGATGGAAGCAGACTGGCAGATGGAGGGCAATGCCTACCCATTCTTCAACAGAAAACTTGTGCTGAGGACTTTAAGGCTGTATGTCCTGAAGTCAAGAAATATCCAAGATGGATTGACAGACAGGACAAACTCAGTGTAAGGACATAGTAGTCATCCCAGGAGTATGCTACTCAGAAATCCAGCAGTTCTTAGTTCTGGTGCATAAGGTTCTTTATTGAGAAAGAGATATTGTGTTATTTCAGGGGCAAAGAAGGACCTAGATTAATGAACACTGGAATTAAAGGAGTGTCTTAAGGGAAAAGCATTGTATAACTAAAAAAAAATATTAGACTAGCAACAGATACTTCTATAATGGTTAAATTGAAGTCCTGTTGTTTGGTATAATACTGATCTAGATGTTTCTACAAAGATATTTTTTTAGATGTGATTCACGTTTAAATCAGAAGACATAAAGTATCCTTCAAAATGTATATAGGCCACATCCAATAAGTTGAAGACCTTAAGAAAAAGGTGGTGATCCCTCAAAGAGAATTCTGACTTCGTTTGCCTTCCAGATTTGAGGCTATAACATTAACTCACTAGGATTTCCAGCTTACCAGCCAACCTTTTAGATTCCAAGCCTCAAAAACTCTCAAATATCCCTTCTTCTTCCTCTCCCTTTCTCCCTATCTCCTTTATGAACACTCCAGTGTAACTACTAGTGTTGATTTTTAAGTCAGAAGATAAAAGCTTTATCAATACTGATTTCTGAGAGCATATTGATACTCTCTCTAGTCTTAATACATAAAGAAACTAGAAATACACAAAGGTATTGTAGACTACAATTCCTTTGTAGGCATAATGGATTTGAACACCATATTCTTTAGATATTTAAAAAGCACTATTATTTTATAGAAATGATTTAAAATTGGAAACTTAGAATGATAACCCTTTGTATGGATTTATATTTTAAAGGAAAGCTGACTAAATAGAAAAGAGAGTGACAAAATGAGATTTACCGTGAAAGGAAACATCACACTAGGTAAGATTGTCAGGGATGGTGTCATTTGATACCCAGGGAAGCAGAAGGGACTTAATATTGGAAAATCTAGAAGGACAATCTAGACAGAGGGAAGAGCAAGTGTAAATGCCATAGGAAGGTAGTGAGTGAGATGTTTGAGAAGCAGGAAGGAGATCAAAGGTGTCTGCAGGGTACTGGGAGACAGGTGGACTGTGAAACACTCACCAAAAGAAACTTTTAATTTTAGATGTGAAATATCTTTCCAAAATATTAGCTGAGAAACTCACTCATGAAACACTTTGTTGTGGTTTTTAAAAAAAATATTTCAATTATTTTTATTTTATGTGTATTGCCTGCATGTAAGAAAGTGCACCTGTACAGTGCAATGCCCATGGAGGACAGAAGAGGCTGTCAGATCCCCTGGAACTGGAGTTACAGATAGCTTTTAGCTGCCATGTGGGTGCTGGGATTCGAACTCTGGTCTTCTGCAAGAACAACCAGTGTTCTTAACCACTGAGCCATCTGTCTAGCCCCACTTCGTTGTGTTTTTTAATAATGCCTTAAAAAATTGATTGAGCTTTTGTACATTTCATACAACAGTTCTTAATCAAATTTAGACCCCCTTCCCCCACCCCCCACCAGACCTCATATATTCCCCTATACGTGTTAAGTCTTATCCAATATTTATTCCCTTCTCCTTCCTTGGGTATCAAATGACACCATCCCTAACAATCTTACCTAGCATGGTGTTTTCTTTCATGGTAAATCTCATTGTATCACCAAACATTTGTGCCCAGATGTGCTTTGGTGCAAATTCATCCACTGGAGTCTGGTCTGCCTATGTAGAGATCATTGGTATGGCCTACTCTCCCTCACCCAGAAGGGTTCAGTCTCCAGTAGTTCTGAGACTAGGGCTGAACTGCCGGCCATTTCCCTCACTCCACTCTG